TAAAATAAAAAACAGACAGAGTACTTCAGTATTCACAGTAAAATAAAAAACAGACAGAGTACTTGAGTATTCACAGTAAAATAAAAAGACAAGACTACTTGAGTATTCACAGTAAAATAAAAAGACGAGTACTTGAGTATTCACAGTAAAATAAAAAGTAGACGTAGTACTTGAGTATTCACAGTAAAATAAAATGTAGACGTAGTACTTGAGTATTCACAGTAAAATAAAAAGACAAGAGTACTTGAGTATTCACAGTAAAATAAAAAGACGAGTACTTGAGTATTCACAGTAAAATAAAAAGTAGACGTAGTACTTGAGTATTCACAGTAAAATAAAATGTAGACGTAGTACTTGAGTATTCACAGTAAAATAAAAAGACAAGAGTACTTGAGTATTCACAGTAAAATAAAAAGACAAGAGTACTTGAGTATTCACAGTAAAATAAAAAGTAGACGTAGTACTTGAGTATTCACACTAAAATAATAAGTAGACAGAGTACTTGAGTATTCACACTAAAATAAAAAGTAGACAGAGTACTTGAGTATTCACACTAAAATAAAAAGTAGACAGAGTACTTGAGTATTCACAGTAAAATAAAACCAACTGATGTGTGTAACTAAATGTGAAACTCCTTTATGAAAGCTAAATTCACATACAGATGAAGTTACACATTTCTCAGGGTACAGAGTACTTGAGTATTCACAGTAAAATAAAACCAACTGATGTGTGTAAGTAAATGTGAAACTCCTTTATGAAAGCTAAATTCACATACAGATGAAGTTACACATTTCTCAGGGTACAGAGTAGTTGAGAGTTGTTTGTCTCACTTTTCATCCAGTGTGAAAGCTCAGACGTCCACACTTCAGGTCCCAGGATGGTCTGAGCCACAGCCCTGCCCTGAACACTGAGCCTGACCTCCAGCACTCTGTTCATAAACTCTTCCTGCAGATTTATACAAGAACATGTGTTGGACACAGACGTTTTACTGCTTGGTGTTCTTACACTTTAACAGTTTTACTAAAAACTGTCTTGTTTTCAGGGAATTCAGCTGAAACCTCAGTGAGTCATGTGCTTCATTTCCAGCTCTACACTAAGTAATAGGTGATTGCTAGGTAATTATTAAGCAAATAAAAGTTGAGTTTAAACCTTGAAGACATTTGCAGGCCAGTCTTTCCAAGGTCAGAGAAAGAACAGTGTGTGATTTTATAGGTTTGAGTCTTGTTATAATGTTGTGTTTACACATAACAGTTTTGTAGTTCGTCCTGAAGCTTCAGTCACTGTTTGTTGCTTCTTTATCACTCGTCGGTTGACACAACAGTCAGGTTTTACAGGAAACACGTGTGGGATGTGCTGAAGAAGACCCTCGTGTGACATTTAAAAACAGATGGACAAGCACATCACCACCACTCATAAAAACTTTTATTTTGTCTTATAAAAAAACAGGAAGTTTAAATTTATCAAAGAAATYCTTTGTTTCTGTCCATGGTTTATGTATTTATTTACCCAGTTTATGTCAGAAAACTAAAAAATTCACCCCTTTTTTTAGATTTTACATTTAATTTAGATGTCCTATTTTTGCTGTTGGTATGATTCATTTTGATTTCTGTTCAGATGTATTTATTAAGCAAACATGTTGGGAAAGTTCAGTCACTGGCAGACTGTCTTACTGTGACAATAGGRCCTGTCCCCACAGGAAGGATGTGTTTCAGCCTTGTCTTCACTGAAACATGTAAACAAAGTGAGGGAAACTTATTTCTGAAACTGTTAACATTTTTATGTGGACAGCTAAAAACACAGCCTAAACCTCTGGTCTCCTTACCTCTAACACAGCTGGTAATTAACCTTGAAACTTCAAAAGTTTACTGGTACAGTGACATTTTCACCAGCCGCTCTCTCAAATCAAGTTTTTTTTAACTGAAAATTTTAAAACCAGAGCGAGAAACACATCCTCTTTAAATATTTCCCACAAATTGTAATATCAATTATAACAATCAAATTTGAGAGTTGTCCTCTATGCCTTCCTTAGAAGCTAAAATAGTTTGAAACAAAATACAAACTAAACTTTTATTGAACTTTCAGAACAAGGGCAAAGTAAGGGAGAAAAACAAAATGCTGGTATGTTTTGTTCTCCAGCTGAAAACTAGAGTTTCCTGTAGATGTGTCTGCTGAAAGCTTCTACCTGTACAGCCTGGTGAAGGCTGGTTCAGCCCAAAGATCCGGTGCCCCGGCACAAACAGAGCAATGTTGTATATGC